TTTCAGAATGTGTCTTATAAATAAGACTGGATAGTGCATTTATTAGTTGTTCTCCTTATATCATGTTTGGGCAGCTTTATTTGCAAGTTAGTTACCATTGATTTCTCAACAATAGATTGGCCCATATGAAAACGCCATTAAAGAGACACTTCATAATTTTTTTATGAAGAAAAGTTTAGGTGAGTTGAATTTTAGAACTCATCAAAATAAAAGTATTCAAATAACTCTTGCAAAATTATTACAATGTGTCTTATATTTTAGATCAAAAATTATTTTTAAAATGTATCTTATAAATAAGATCAGATAGAGCATCTATTGGTTGTTTTCTTTATGCCAAGTTTGTGCAACTTTATCTGCAAGTTATTCACCATTGATTTCTCAACAATAGATTGGCCTATATGAAAACACCACTAAAGAGACACTCCATAATTTTTTTATGAAGAAAAGTTTAGGTGAGTTGAATTTCAAAACTCATCAAAATAAGAGTATGCTTTCAAATTTAAAGAACTCTTACAAAATTACTTATAGATCATTTATTAATAAATTCCTCATATTAATAGTGAGATTTAAACTCATGACCTTGTAAATTATGGACTAAATATTTACTAGTTGAACTAATTTTTATTGAAACTTTTTGCATAACTTAATGAATGTCGTTGTCAATCTAAACAACAGATTGTGCTTTTCTTTGGTCACCTAAACAACAAATTTGATAGTATTGAAATCCAACTGTTTTTAAGATTTCAAGAAGTTAGAGAATCTCTCTCTCTCTCTTACACACACACTTGCTTATTTTCTTTCTAGCCGTACGAGTTATTTTTAAACAAAATTAGAGAGTTAAAATGATAAATTATAATGTAGTTAGAAGAATTTATGATTTAGCCAAATTTGATGGGGAATGATATCAAATAGACAGATAGTGTTTATGTCAATAAGATTGGAACCATAAGATACCCAAAAAAATGTATAAAGCTTGAAAAAAGAACGGCAAATAAAGTTTGGATGAAGTCTTTTATTTAATTAGTTTTGGTGTTTTAATCATTTTCTCATTCTGATTCTGTTTTAATTAGCTTTAATGTCTATTCTTCATTTATTTTTCTGGATTACCATGGGATTTTATTTTATTAGCAGATTTGATGAGCACCTGTGTTTTGTATTGCTTCCTAACATATTTACCATAGTAACCCTAATTTGATCCCATAAAGGCAGTTGATGGGCATGGAAGTGGAGAGAATCTTTAACTCCAGCCATTTCTTGCCTGAGGTAAATTAACTCGGATCATTCAGTTGAGAATATTTGATTTCTATTCTGATACATCAATAACTCACAGAATTTCTTGCCTATAACCTAAATCACGCTGAGAATTTGTAGTGCTAATTTGTATGTACATTATTTCTCTAAATGAATCGATATATATAGGGCCAAGGAGAAAACATAATCCCGGAAAATTTTCTCAATGACTGACAGAATAAAAATTAAAATTAAAGAAAATATTCTATATTGTTAAATAATTATAGAATATTAAGATACAGTCATAATCAGAGAAACTGCAGTTTTTTGATAAAAAGTTAACAAGCCTGGTAAAACAAAGTTAACTTTCAACACATACCAATCATCATCTAATGAAGAAACTATAGTGTTTGTTAGGTTAATGGGCTTGGTAAAACTAAGCCCACTTTTGACAATTTAAGTCATAATGTACAAAATTGTGAATTTAAATCCCACTGTCAATTTAAGAACCTTATTGATAAATAATTTATAAGTAGCTTTGTAAGCATTTTGAACCTAAAAGTACGTCCTAACCTTAATAAGCCCTTGAGGTCCAACTCATTTAAACTCTATTTTATTAAAGAAAAAAAAAAACACTTCTTGTTGAACCTAAGTTATGTCGATGCATGGCAAGAAAATAACCTTTAATTACAGATTTACTGAAAGACTCAGTTACAATTAAATGGAGTATCAACGACTAGATACGGCCCAAAAAATATAATGATTTCATTAACTACCATAAAAAAAAAATATGGAAAATTTATATTACTTACACAAATCAACAATACAATATTGGTCAGCTCCACGTAGCTTCCACAAGGAGATAGGGAAAAAAAAAGGCAGAATTTGACTAACCCATGCTAAACTAACAAACGTATAACCCTCTCTCTCGTACCCAACAGCACATATACATTCTAGTTTAGTTCAACGATGGCTGGAAACTACGAAGAACAAACTATATTGCAATGCAGGTTGGATGAATACCTTGAGAGGCACAGCGAATATCAGTATTCAGTAGATCAGATCAATCTCCCCATCAGCTTGAGGCTCCAAATAAAAACGGAATAACTGAATGAAGGTTGGATATCAATATTCGATTCGTAGCCGTCTCAGTTTGTAGCTGTCTCAGTTCAGCGATTAATATTCAAATCGTATCCGTCTGTGTTTGTGGCGATCAATATTCAATCCTTAGCCGTCTCAGTTCAGATTTGAAGGTGGGGCTGTTGTTTAGAGTTCGACGGGCAAGATTCCTTATGTCCTCCCGTGAACAATCCCTTGAAATCCGGACAAGCTCCCAAAGGGCACCACCACTAATCATGTCTTTTGCATTCACTTCTGCAAATTGTACAACTTGAATTGCTTGAATTTATGCTAAGAAAAATTTTAAAATAGGATCATCTATCAAAAGATAAATGAAACAACCAATTTAGGGATTAGGAATTAAAAGGGCGTTTAGTTAAGTTCTAGGAAAGGTGATCTTTTTTTGAAAAGACAAAATAAGCTCTACTGACAGCAGACTGGGTGAAAATGGTAAACTTTTCAAGCTAAGCTGCTACATACACAAGAGCTAAGATTGGAAACCCCAATCACTTGTTCAAGTGACAAAAGCTTTTATCACTTACATCAACTATAGTTGGTGGAAAGGTTATCTTTTCCCCCCCTCACTATACAAAAGAAATCCGTATCATCATTACTGAACAGTAACCATGCTTTTTTTTTAAAAAAAAAATTCAATAACATAAAAGATGCTTCTCATTTATAAAATTATTTTTGTATTCTATTTTCCTTTTCATTTCATTTCCATTTTGTATAACAACTTCTTAGTTCAATCACTTTTGATAGGCTCATTAATTATTATATATTTATCAGAATCATTTAGATCTTCATAAATTTGGAACACCTGTTTTAGCTATATTGTAAGCACAAATCTACCTTCAAAAATTTAAAGATAAGGTTAGATGCTATTACCATGCTGTGCCAAGTGGCAGATTGCAAGCTCAACGTGGCGCCTTATCGGTGCAGCTTCATTATTAGCATTTTGTACAATCCATGGCAGTGCGCCATCTTCTACTAAAAAGGATCTGCCACTTTTTAACCCTGTGAATGCAAAATCTAATCATCAAACTAATGAACAAAAAATGAGTTTCATAAGTTCATTTGGTGGTGGGGCTGTACAATGAAGCAAGGAAATTGATGGTAGGCATTGATTTTCTTGAAAGCATAGAAGTGGCCTTACAGTTATCGACGGAGTAAAATATTTTGATGTCAGCTGCGTTAAGAATTAGCCCATTATCTATCTAGTTTAATGCATCTCCTTCAATAGAGAAGACATTGCCTCAATATTCTGAGGGCATGAATACAATTTTATCGAATACAAATTTAGAGGCAAAGAAATCCCTCAAAGATGTGAGTATTTCTCATCAACCAAACAAATCATAAAATCCCATAAGCCATGCATTGCCAGTTCTTTTCTTTATTGCTTCAAAACACTCTAATTGAATTTGGAGCAATTCATTCTACGTCTGAATAATTTCTTTGATGCTTTTCAATCAAGAGATTTCATCGCACATGCACACGCTCGGGTGGGCATGGGCACAAGAGCGTGACTATGAACTTTCCTATGAAGGAGAATCAATCTAAAATGAATGTTGGGAGAAACTGAAGGGATTATAATAATTAATTATAATTATTACAGTATTAACATCACACCACTGTCAACCTATGCAAAAGGAAGAAAACTAAACCTTGACCAGAAGCTCGGGACTCGCATTTTGCAAAGTTGGCAATTCCTCGAGCAACTTGGGAAAGAACATCAGGATGTCCACACCTAACAATTCCCAGTAAAGCCTTTATACCACCCTGAGATCTCAGCTTCATTAATAACTTCTCTGGATGAGAAACATTAAAATGAAATAGTAAATATACTTAACATCAAACTCTCAATTGAACTCGAGTAGAAGTGATAATGTGAAGTATACACATGATTTCCAACGTGAATTAAATCTAAAGATGAAAGCATGATATTCTGATACAACTTAACAAGAAAATAAAAAACAAGGAAATGAAGCTAGTACTTCCCATAACATATTTCAGCACTACAACTAAGCTATGAAATGGAAAGTAAAAGAAGACTATATCAATAAATTTTATATTTCTTATAAGAAAACTAAAACTCTCTGGACATGTAGATCACGTTATGTGATGCAGAAAGTACACAAGTTTAATCGTTTAATACTTATGGAATCAACATATAATGGCAATATAAAACCATAACCTTTTATAGGATGAGTTCTCCCAAATCTATTCCCAACTTAAAATTTGCAATCATTGATAACGTCATGTTTACAATTTTCTTAAGCTGATAAAAAAAAATCATCTCCGAACAATATATCTTGTGTTGACAGAAAATGTCTTTCAAAAAATGAGTTACTTTATGCTTGTTCAATTTTCTAAAATTTGGGGTGTAGGATCAATAGTTTAGGGCCATATTCATATAAAGAACGTAAAAATTGATTTTGTGCGTATGTTGAAATCTTTATGCCAGTTTTCTTAAACATATTGAAAGCTGTGTCCAGTTTCATCAATGAAAATTGATTATATATATATATATATATTGTGAGTGCATCTGTAGTGAAGAATACTTGTTTATTAATGGCTATTGGGGGGCAGCAAATCCCAACCAATGATACACGTGAACCATTATAATTAAGGGCTAAAATAATATCCAGCACTTTAAAAAGGAAGTTCAAGGTGAATTAACATTGATGACTGTTACAAGAGAGAGAAAAAGGAGGAGAAACAAAATCCTTATCCACAAACACGTGTCAAGGGGTGAGGTACAGTGTCTATATTTCCATTCCCAACCATAACTATATGACAGCCAAGTATTTCTTTCTTTTATTATTTTATCATATTGCTTGTCCTTTTATTAGCATAGTAATCTATAATTCCAAACCCAACGCATATCAATACACCCCCCTAAAGAGCATCAATGTCCACAAGGATGGAAGAATATGAAGGGGTGGTGGCAGCGGCAGGAACGGTGGGGCTTTGCTGTTGGATGACAGAGAGGTCCTCCCAAGTGGCATCTTCAGGTCTGGAATGCAATCATCAATTTACAACTGAGTAACAGGCAATCAACCTCATCTAACTACCTTCCTAAAATATACTCTAGTTCAAGAAACTGACCTTCCTCATCAATCAGAGGATGCCAGCTACTAACAACAGCATTCCCAAGAGATTTATTTAGGACAGGAAAACAGGATGCACGTGAGAATTCTCTGATGGCTCAGGCTCGAACTCATGAGCAACTTTTCCAATCCATAATAGCGAGCAGCAAGCTTATGGAGTGCAGAATTATTAAGATTTCTGTGAAAAGGAAGCAGCTTCAAATAAAAAACATTTCCAGCTTGAAACTCATCTTTACTTCTTTGTTAGCCAGCGGAACCATTTGATGTTGTGATCTCAGCAAATGATGCTTAAGAGGCTGAATGGTCAATTCTCTAGCTAGGCCTGAACGATCAACCAAACCCTTAGGGAAGCCTCCAACTAAATAAGGAAGATGAGTTGGTGATGGAATTCCATAAGTGGCTTCTTTGAAAGGAGTCATTCCTACGGCAGAAGGATAAGTGGCATTACACCTAAGTTCAGCTAGTGGCAGCTGCTTGGCACATTGTTTAGGAAAATCCCCACCAGTGAAAAAAGGAAGGGGGGGAAAAACTCTCCAAGCACCGGTTTGAGACCTCAGCCTAATAGTCAGTCTGGTGGGTGGTTCACTTATCAGTAGTGCAAATTAACACCATTTAACCGAAACAATTCATGCCAGAATTAACCACAAAAAGTAGGGTCATGATCAGTGACTACTGTCTTAGGGAAACCATGGAGCATCATGGTGTTATCCAAAAAAATCTGATCCCCTTCAGCTGTAAAAGGATGCTTAAGGTACAAAAATGAGCTCCTGTGATTAAGTGATCAACCACCACTGGAATTGCGGACTTACCATAGGATTTATGTAGGCCACTGACAATTTATAGACAATTCAGTCAGACCACATATCCTCAGGAATAGGGAGAGGTTGAATAAAATCTGGACTAGCAACAATGTTTAGGCTTGAAAAAGGCTTAGAGTTTGTTGGAGTCTCCAAGAGATGGAGAGAAGGTTGCATCTCCTTAGCCTCACAAATGAATGTATTTCTGGTCAATAGTGTTTTATTTTGACTAGGTTGTTGCACTCCTTCAGGACACGAGTTTTGAACCTTAAACTCACTATTTAATGCGAAACTCCAGCGCTTGTACACATTTCTAGGTTGAGAAGTTCCGTGTTTCTGAATTTTCATATCCCCCTTAATTTCTAAATGAATTTGACTGCCTTTAATTCTTTTGCTAGGTGGCACAATTGCTGGTTCCCTAATTGTAGAATTGAAGACGTCTAGGTAAGCTATGATGTAAAGGAATAAATGTGTATCATAAGGCAAGGAAAAACGATTAGATAGGGAATTGCATGTCTAGATGAGTGGTGAGGATGAAGGTGGAGAAGCAATGTATAGGTGGTAGGAACCCATTAAGGATCAAACAGCTTTGATACCAAATGATAAGATCCAAGATAGGCTGAGAGAAATAAGGAAAATAAATCATTATTAAAATATAAAATCAAAATCTAACTTCATATATTAATAAGAGAACATTGCACTAATAGAAGAAAATAGGAAGAGTAATTACATTAAGATGATATAGAACAAAAATCTTGCTATATACTTTTCTCAATAGCCACACTTAAGAGAATCTTTAAAGGGCTCAAAAGCCTCAAAAGTTTATTTAATTCATGATATGCTAGCTTTTGAGTTGCTAAGCATATTTATATTGCAAAATACAATCAAAATACTGAAAAAAAACTATATAACTAGATAATTAAATAAAAAATAAAAAATCTACTAAGATCCATTATTTGGATAAAATACTAAATATTATTATTAAATAGAAAATATCTAAAATAAATTAAAAATAATATTTATTCCAAATATTTCTCTAACTTCCCAAATCATCCATTATCCCTCATTAATTGGTACCCTATCACACCTTAGTGAATTTGTATTATTTCTAATGTCATTATTTTATAGCTAACTATATGTTTTCGGGGATTTAGCAACCCACATGAAACAAACAAGTAAATATACTAGTAGCTGAAAGCTCAAATGGCACAAGCTTAATCTAAGACTCAGGTAAACCCTTGCTCAATCTCAGCTCCTTCCCCAAGACATAGACCTTCAGTGTAACCAACAAGAGAAGAGAAAACATGTAAATATACCATTTCCACATAGATTAGCAATAGCTCCAGCTACCATTCGGAGAGTTTGTGGATCTTCAGCATCAGATGAAGTCATTGATAAGAGAGTAATTCCACCTTCAGCCATAATAAGTTCTTGATTGGCTTCTGCATCACCGCAAAAGAAGCAAGATAACATACCAACATTAGTCAAATAAATACAACCACAAATGATAGCAAAATTACCAATTTAAGAAGCAAGATCTTGCAATCTCAATGTTTGAAAATTTAAAGAACTAGTAATCAACAATCACCATTCATCGCAAGATTGGCTATGGCCCCTGCAGCTACCCTGCGAACAGTTTCATCCTCATATCTTCTAAGAAGCATAAGCAAGGATGTAAGACCACCTGCATCTACAATTCTTTTTTGATTTGCTTCTGCAAATCACATTGAGAAATAACATTAGATAAAGTAACATGAGAGTTTAATCAGTTAACTACTGTCTACAAACTACAAACCACTAGTGAAAGCATATACTAGTATCACTAAACAGGAAACAGATGTTAAACAAAACCTCAAGAAGAGGTTAACAATTACCTTCAGCAGCTAGGTTGGCAACCACTTTCACTGCATGAATCCGTACATTGGCATCGTCTGACTCTAGTAATGTCAATATCTTGTGCAATCCAACTGTCAATTTTTTTTTTTGTCATATACACATGAACAGTGAAGAGTTTCAATTATTACACAAACCACTACTTATACCTTGTTCAAAAAGGGTAGCAACAGATGCCTTCTGACCATTCCCATTGTCTCTGAGTTGAGAATTCCTAGCTTGAGACATGGCGGAATCCATGGCAGAAAATGCATTTTCGGAGCCCCCATTTTCCAAACACCTTCTCATCTACAGACATAACATTCAATTAGATTGCAAAGCATACTAAAACAAGGTAATATAACTAGATGGTTTGGAAAGAGGATATTTTTCCCCCTCCCTTTCAACAAACAAAATTTTATTGGAATGAGAACAAGGAATGTCTTGCAGAGGACAAGGTACTTCAAACCAAAAACCACTAGTAGCTCAAAAACATTAAGTGGATAGCCCTAAGACACTTGCCCAAAATAGCCTTCCAGTCTGCTTCAAATGCATATGAGAAACATGTGCAGAGCACTGGAGCTAAGCCATACACACAATTCTATCACATAATACGTTTCAAGGAAAATATAAGGGAAGAGGAGAATACTTGATCTCATAAGGATTAATGCCGGTGACCTTTTGGCCCCACAAAAAAAAAAAAAAAAAAGCCAGTGACCTAAATGGTTTCAGGTGGACCCTGTTGATGCCAATCTGATCAAGGAATTTTATAATTTAAATCGTTAAGCTATCACAGATAAGTAAGAAACTAGCTTCCAGTACTCTAGACTTTGCACCCAAGCCGTTTCAAGTGTCCAAAGCTCTAACAAATGTTGAAACATCATTTATTTAAATCAGGTACCCATTTACAATTCCCTATATTTAAATGGCCGTAGATCATATAAAAATCAGGAACTGACAGGATTTAATGTCACAGCAAAGCCAAAATATTAACTTCAATTCCAAGCAAATAATAACTAATCAAGCAAATGCTGCAATTTGATTCAAAGTGAAAAAAAACCTGATCAGCTTCATAATTCACTTGTAATAATTGGCTTTGCAGTATTATTAACTCTTCTTCAAGTTTCCTTTTCTGATGAGCCTCCTCTTCCAGCATTTGGCGAAGATTTAGAATCTCCAGATTGCCTCCAGCCTAATACACAAAAGATGTTCCCACTATACCAGAAATTCAAGGTTGAAAAGATAGAAGCCAGAGATGCTTGTCATTTAAATCTACCTGTGTCTGTGAATGTTTCCCCAGCTGACTTCTTAGGTGTTCTACCTCTTCTTCAGCTGCCTTTCTACGATTAGTTTCATTATCAAGCAACCTTTTGACCTCAGCAACTTCATCTGTGGATGATGGCCCGGGCCCCTGTTCCATAAAAACTAATTATATGATAAAAAAATTAAAAGCTGAAAAAAGAAAGACAACCAACTAATCTTAGTTCAACGAGACAATAAGCAGAAGCTGGGGAAACCATAGACAACCTGCACGAGAGAAGATTAAATTGTTATCAATGTGATGGTTAATCAAGTGGGATGGGAAATCCTCCCTAAAAGCAAGCTGTGGAGGTGGGAGAACCAGCCCACTTGTGTTCCCCATTGAGGGGTACATGATACTAATAGATGCTCAAACTAACAAAGGAAAACAAGAGAAATAAATCTATCGAGGTGATATAAAACAAGAATCTCGCTCTACATTCTTCTCAATAGCTACACTTAAGAGAATCTCCAAAGGGTTTAATGAATTATTTTATTGATGATATGCTAGCTTTTGAGTTGCTAGTCATATTTATAAAAGCAAATACAAATAAAATCTAGATAACTAGATAATGAAAGACTAAATAAGTCATTAATGGAATCTTATCAGATACTCAATGGGGAACTTAGGCATCCCATACCACCTAAGTCTCCATCACCATCCTATTAAATTCGGCCATGAAGGGAAAAGATAAAAAGCAGCAGCCAGGAAAAATAATAAAATAAGACATTGTGATTTAGATACTGAAATAAATCAAGGTACAAGTGTTACATGCGTAGCTCCCTCCTGAAGTCCTAACTAACAGTGGCTTATTTAGCAGGACTGAAATGTTGTTAGTAGCTACTAGTTAGGAACGGGGAAACAAGGTCCTATATAAGGAGAACTAAACTCCCTGTACGCTGGTGAGGATTGAAAGAATACAATTGTTTTTTGAGTTTTCCTTCCATCAAAGTGGTATTAGAGCTGATCTCTGGCTTGATAATGCCAGAGACTTGATCATACAAATGAATTGACAACCTTGAAATTATTACAGCTGCTACATTGTTTGTGGGTGATCATATTAGAAGTGTAACATTTCACTAAATTTCAAGTGTAAAATTTCTTTCCATTCTCAAATCAAGGCTCAAATAGAAGGGCTTTATGAATTGTCAAGACAACTTTTCCAAAGAATCATTACTCTCTTAAGTAATAATATTGCCTTGCATGTTATGTAAATACTTTAGATCTATGACTATTGTTAAAATATATTCATATATAATCACTGTAACTGTATTTACAAACATCAAACAGGTGACATTTTCCCAGATGCAGTAAATCCAGTAAAAACAAAAGCAAAAGCCAAATACAAGATTAAAGGCACAAAAGCAAGTAAAAATTGCAAACGCACAAAAGAAAAAAAAAACACATACCATACTGATAGAAAAAAGCACAGGCGGCAAAAATACAAAATAAAATGCATCATGAAACATAAGCAGTAAAAATTGCCAATCCAACCAAAAAAAAAAAAAAGGAATCCAAAGTCATGCAGAAAATAATGGCCTGTTTGGCAATCTGTTTTGGGAATAATTTTCTGTTCTCTATAGAACAAAAATATATATTTGGCAATGTGTTTTCAAAAAGTGATTTTGAAAGCAAAAAAAAAAAAACAAACAAAATATTTTTTTGGAAAATAGAAAAATAATATCTTTTAGGTATTCTAAGATTATTGTTCTGGAAAATAAGGGAAAATTAAAAAAAATAACAATTTTCATATTTTTTTTGTTCTCAGAACATATTTTATAAAACATCAGTTCTCAGAACAATAAAACAAAAACAGTTTCAAACAAGCCCTAAGATTTCAGAAGACTGAATTGCTCAGGAAAACAAAAGTTAATTAGTCTGAAATGATAAATATTTGTTTTTTTAGAGAAAAAGCATAACAACCTGTTATAAAAAAACCAAAGAATGAGAAAAGAATTAACTTCAAATATTCCAAAATAAACAATAAAATCTCAAATGAGATACCTCTCCATGAGCATCCACAAAGCCATTGCAGTCATATCTTTCTTGACTCAACACCAACTTATGCTCCAACTGCTTGACTGAATCCATGTACTCCAACTGGCATTTCATCCTCTCTTTCTGCAATGCATGGTACAACTTACAATGAGTACATAAAGAGAAAAGAGGAGCTGCCTGAGGTTATCAAAAATATGCAGAAAAGGACAGCATCATCCCTAATGTCTGCTTCGAAATTACAATGTAGATTTAGCCTATATTGAGAAAGTATCAATTAGTCAAGGATTATTCTGACAAAGTTTATTGGGTCAAGAGATTATTAAAAATCAGAAAGTCAAGTAGGTTAAGGAAGCGTTACCCTAGTATGCAGTATCAAAACTTTATATTAAGTATTGTATGCTTTGCAATGGTATATCACATAAATAAGTTATATAGTATTAGGAAACAAGAGATTCAGCAATGGTCATGCATCATATATTCTTACCTACAATGGAAACCCACATCTATATATTATAATTAGTAAATTAAAGGACTAAAGGGCAAAAATACTTATAAACTTTTCCTCCAGGGGCACCTAGTATCTTTAAGTGAAGAATGGAACAAAAGTATCCATAACATTGATTTAGCAAGTGCAACTGTCCCAAAACCGTTAAAGAAGCTAAACATCCATTATGTTCCTTCACAGTCATCGCCACATGTTGCTAGGTGTCACCCACTCAGCCTTGACTTTTCTTCTGCTTCCAAGTGTCACCAAATCAGCCAAGTGTCCTTAATCTCCTGCATTTTGCTCATTCCCTTTCACTCAACTATTTCCCTCAGCTCTAATGGCCTTCTCCAACTCACCTCACCAATGGCAACAAGCAACAAACAAGTCATGCCATCTACCCCAACCCTATAGCTTTAGTCAAAAACTACTCTTTCTCTACCACTTTCGTTTTCACCATTAAACCTAAACACCCAACTCTAGTGGTCACGGAATAGCTTTTGTAATTTCTCCAACAAAGACTTTCCCAGGTGCTCTGCCCAATCAGTTCCAGTAGAAGGTGGGAAGCAATCAAACTAGTAGATAAATATCACCGAAAAAAGCTAGTTTCTAATTGGGTTGTGTCGGATCTATCTTGAGAACTTCATGGGTGGCTTCTAGCCTTCTCCTCTTCATTTTTCCAGGCTTCTTGAAGACAACTACAGATCAAAGGCAGTAGAAACGAAATTGAGAACTCATGCGTTGGTAGAAGATGATTTTAGCCGGGTTTGACAGAATCCAACCAGTATGGCAATGTTCTCATTTTCCAGCGTAAAGTATGTTATGTTGCTTTTTAATTTCTGGGTCATGACATTTAAGATTGTTAGAGAAAATATGTGATGAAATTAAGGGGAAGTCAGTTTTCTACATCAATTGGGTAGTTTATGTTCACATAACTTAACATTGATCGAGTAATGAAGAGACAAAGTGTGGAGTGAAATTGTGAGGCAAAGAGAAATCGATTGATGGAGATTGAGAGGAAGATTTAAAGATCAATCGATCAATTCATGTGGGTTAGGGTGATCTGGGTCTCATCGACGGAACCCATGATGATTGAGAGGAAGATCTAAAGATTTGGGTTTTTCATGTCTCTTTTATCGCCTTCGTGTGACCATCTTAGTGAATAGAATCTTTCGAGTCCCATTTTAATTTTCACACAAGCTACGCATTTTCTCTATTCATGTTTCATGATCACGGACTTTTCTGGATTGTGATTTCTCCCCCGATTTACATTAGAATTTGGAGTTTTCATATCTCTCACTTTGCATTTTTCGTTTTTGTTCTTCAGTGCATTTCCCACTATTTTTTTCAATGAATTTGCACTGAAGTTTTGTCGATGATGTATAAATGGAACTTCCGAGGAGAATCCATGTAGCTCATGTTGGGTTCTAAAGAAATGGCTAGTGCTTTGGACCTAGGAAAAATCAAAGGGAAAGAAGAAAGATGACGTCAAAGTTGCTGGAAGTCACAAATGGTGGAGTTAAGAAAGGAAGAAGATGATGATGATATGACCACGTGAGAGAGAGAGAGAGTTTACATGTCCATGTTAGCAAAATTAGTCAACCATGTGCTTACACGTCACTTAAACGGTCAACATTGAGTCTTTTTAATGATTTTTGGACAGATACACCAATTCAAACAAGTTTATGAGTATTTTTGCACCTTCATTCACTTAAAGATATTGGGTGCTCCTAGAGGAAAAATTCAAAGGTATTTTTTCCCTTTAACCCTAAATTAAACAAGATAGTATACTCAAGATAGAGACATTATAATATAAATATACAAACCTCCAATGCATCTGCAAAATTCCTCTCAACTTCAGCTATATGACTTTGGGCCTCCAAATTTATTTTTTCAACTTCAGCCTCAAAAGCTTTTTGCTGCCTTTCATTTTCCGCAATCAACTTATCGACTTGTACTTCAAACCTCCGGGCCAAACTTTTATAATCAAATTCCTCCTTTATTTTCAACATATTCTCAACTTTCATTGCCTTTGTGAAATAAATGACACTTAATCAATCATGCAGCCAACATATCAATCATCAATAACATCTTGCATTTGAAATTGTAAGAGATGTATAACGGAGAAAAGGATAGTAAGTCTATAAAAATACCCACCATCTGTTAACCATAAAACTTTACTAACTTGTTTGGGAACAATAGTGACGCAATATACACGGTAAAAAGTACTAGCAAATAGGAAGAGTCCATTAAAAACCATTTCATGGTTGACAAACAGCACAAGGAGGAAAAGCGTACATCTTCCAGATTTTGTGGGCACTGAGACTCTACCTCACAATAGGGTCATGAAAATTACTTTTTAAGATATTGTCCAAATATAGAAAAGTTAATATTAACATTTAAATTGTTCATAAAATGCAGGGAAAAAAAGATATACAACAGGTATTTAGATGATGTAGAAAGAAAGGAAGGAGAACTAGAGGGTAAGCCGGGGGGGGGGGGAGATTGGAAAATGCTGAATATTATTTCAATGGAAAAAAATTCTACGAGTGAATAATCCTAAGGCCATTTATAGAGCTCTAATCCTAGTTAGTCTAGACTACTGTAAAGATAAGATAAACTTTATTTAGATTTAAAAGAAACTAAATCCTTTATAAGATAAGATAGGATAATAGGATAAATCATATAAACCTAATTTAGACTTAAGAGATAATACCGTGATTTAAATAAAAATGGCCTACATCAGATAAAATCAAAGAATTCTGATACAAATTAAAATAACCCTAAGCGTATTCCCCATCATGATCATTTGCAAGTTTCACAACAATATATAAAGCATATTGCATTTTACACGGTAAAATATACAAGTCTAGAAATTCATAAATATGAAAACTGACCCTCTGGCCAAACAGTATGGTACTTGCAGTCTCTCCTCGATGACGTGGAGATGGTCCAATAGTTACAATCAAAGAAGTCCTAGCAGTACCTGCAAATTATTTAAAAAACTCATTAGGATAGCATGATATAACTAAAATTACAGTAGGTATCAACAGCTAAGAACAATGTCCAAGAAGCTCCACATTTGTGGTTTGGACATACGAGTCCTCACTTGCTAAGACAAAATGGGTATATTGGTCAGTTCCTCAAATCATGCGTTTGATGACAAAAGAAGGCCACCTAAACACCATTTCATCAATTCTACTTAAGAACAAAATGATTGTAATATCCCAGCATGTTTTTATCCTTTAGCGAGCTCTGCCTATATTTTGTAGCCTGTCCCAAGCTTGGGTAACGGAGGAGGGTTGTGTTAGGCCCCCAACAGCCAACATGAAACTTTGTTGAATCTTACATGAATATAGACAATAAACGTTTTTATTTGAAATACATGTAAAGACAAAATTCGTAATGAGTGAATGCAGGAAAAAGTGGGCGTTGCACCTATTAAGGAAAAATGGTAGAAAATCGTTTGAGATGGTTTGGACATATACCAAGAAGACTACAAGAGGCACTTGTGAGGAGAGTGGAACAAATAACTTTGAGCCTTGTCAAGAAGGGTAGAGGAATACCCAAAAGAACACTTGGAGGTTTTTAAGCGAGACCTTTTAATTAACAATATTTCTAAAACTTTAATAAATGATAGAGCACAATGGCATCATATAATCCATGTAACCAACCCCACCTAGTGGGATAAGGCTTGTTGTTATTGTTGTTTTTGTCCTTTAGTGACAAATTAAGGACATGTTACTTCAAAACATGAAAGTAGACGTTGCTAATAAACACATGCATATATGCACAATTTTCTCTTTCTTTGTTTTTTTTTTTTTGGTACTAGCATATATGCACAAATTTATTTACACACATGCACACACATATACACACATTAAGTATTCAAAAGATCTGATAAGCACTAATCAAGTAGTCTATAGATGTGAGTTATAAACCTAAGACTAAACATAACTCAATGAGGAAATTAAAAACTTTCATATGCATCATATCAATTTTATAAACTTTCAACTTCTCCCCACAATAATTTATTTCTAGATTTGTCCCTGTGAAAGGAGAGTGTTCAAGAATAAGAAAATCTTAGACAAAGAAAACAAGTGCAATTTTAAAACAGGGAAAAAACAACAAAAGCCTTAAAAATGCAGTGAAGAAGAGCTGCCCATACTCTTTAAATGTTGGAAATAGGAAAGACTGACAATATAGGATGAAAAGAAGTAAAAATGATTATATAGCAAGCCAAACAGGGACTAAAAAACGAGAACTGGTTTCTTAAACCATAAATCAAATTTAATAGCGAATGTGATCCCATTTAGTTGAAGCTGCAACGTCTAATAGTATGAAATCTAACGCAACAGATTAAGGCCTCTTACCTCCAAAAGAATCTCTGAGCAACCTGGTAAGCTTGGAATCACGAATTGGAACATGAGCACTGTTCTCTGCCAGAGCATTAATACATTTTCCCAATGCACTAAGTGAAAGATTTATAGATTTAGCTTCCTCTAGCATTTGTCCTTCACTCCCTGGTAAGAAGAAAAGAGATGGAAATGTTTAGCACATATTGACCTACAAGTACAAGATACTAGACCATCAACATGTAAATATAAAATATAAAACCTATATAGCAAGAGACATAGTCCACGCATCATAAATAGCATTGATTCATTTCTCAAACTCCGTAAAAAGTTCAAAGAAGCAAGTCATGTTAGACTAAAGGCAATGACTAACATCAAGTGAATGCATGAAAGTCAAAATCCCAAGAGGGAATAATGCTAGGTCACATTCCAGGGGGAAGAGGAAAAATTTCAATATATTTATCATCCAACAAAAAAAAAAAAAAAGACTTCTTTTTGCCAACAAAAAACAAAGAAAGAAAAACATCATGTTATTTCATTCAACTGAAGTTTTGACATTTGTGTTTTAAATGCCAAGACAGTTATTAGTTGGTCTGGCTCCCACTCAAATGAAGAAAGGTTGGTTCGAACTTGGCCTTTGGTCCAACTTAAAGCCATAATCTAGCTCCAATCAAGAATGACGCATTACATTCATATCTAACAAACTTGATTCCAGCCTATTTGGAACCATGAACTTAATCTTATTTAAGCATCCAATAAAGCATTATTCTTATGTGAGCAAATTCCAGAGTATGGTTGATTCTATTGATTCGAAAGTGTCGATACATAGGCTAAATAGAAACAGAAAGAGGAAGCCAAATGTCAGCGCTCTCATTTCTTGATTATAGGGGAAAATATGGAAAACGAAATCATCAGCAAATCTGTAACAAGATAATCTGGAAAATAAAACCCATATCTAGGAAATAAAATCAGAGATTAAAAGATAGATTACTGAGATAATGGGCTCTTATAATTGTCTGCATTATGATTAGCACATTAACTTACAGTTTAAATTCAATTATTTTATAGGTTAAGTAATGCTGAAGCCTGAATGTCAAGAAAAAATCAGATAATGATCCGTATCTTGACTGGGAGTTCATTGATTTAAAGAATGTTGTTTTTTGTCTTTTCTTTGTAATTTATATTAGAAATTGATTAAATCAATTATCTAGTTACTAACCAAACACCTATATTTTGATAAAAATCAATTTTGAAAGCTAAAACGGTGGTTTCCTTAAATTAAATCCAAACACCCACATTTTAGTTAAATCAATAATTACTTCCCCTGACACCCATATTTTGATTATGAAAGCCCAAAATGTGGTTCTCATAAGCAGCTCCCACATGCTTCAAGTGCGTTTAGATTAGTGTTGGGTAAAAACAGAGTTTAGATAAGGTTGATTTATCATAAGCATGATTTTGGAAAGAATTGATTTAATCAAAACACAGAAGCATGTGGAAGCTGCTTATGAGATAACGTGGTTGAGGATCTCATAATTGATTTAATCAATTGATGACAACAAGATTTGTTTGCACGGACGGCAGCATGCCTCATGCATAGCATAGATACACAAGAAATGCATCTTCACCGCAAAGACGAAATTCATTATTTCATAATATACAAGAAAATTTATAGACAAAACAATATCTAAAATTGAGCATACACCTGACTTTTGGATACGCTCTGAGCCTGCCAAATCTACCACAACTAGCTTGCTCTTTCGAACAAGTGGTTTAGAAGGTTTGGTCAAATGAGATGAGTCATTATTTTCATTAGAAGAAATATCTTCACTTTCTAAGACAGACCTCTTAACATGTACCTGTATGAGAAAGGATAACTTCATTATTGCATACTTTTTAAAAATAATTACCGAAACAATCAATTTCAAAATTTGGTTTATTTATTCAAAGCATATAAAAAAATTAACTAATTAGAAATAAGCTTCTTTTTTCACCATCAATATAGCATGACTACGAGAAGATTCAGTATTCAACTTTGTGTTGGCAGCAAAACGGTGAGCTTCCCCCACTCTCAGCAGCTCCAAAAAACTCTGTTGGTCTCTAATTTCTACAATCGTAGCCCCAGGCAGAGATACATCACCAGTTCTTGGATCTTCCATAATAGGAATGTTATCATTCGCAGGGTTAAGCAAGTCCTGGATAGTCTCCATGTAAAGCTACACATTTTTCAAGGGTCAAAAACAGATTAAATATTTTCAATAAATTTAATATAGCTTATGAATACAATATAATAAAAGAACAGCATGAAAAAGCCAAATAGCATCCAACTTTACAATTATTAAGATAAGATGCAGCAACCAAGTTTACAACTTGAAAACAAGAGCCTTGAAAACCAATGTGTATGAGGCAAAATGCAGTGTTGTATTTAAAAGCATACAACCTGCAAGTACGAGACAGTGACAGTATCAGTTTCTGGAGATAGATCTGCTAAAATATCCTCCATGGAACGAACCATGATGCCACGATTGGAAATGTCATCTTCCCCCAATTGTCCAACGGTAAAAGTTTTCCCCGTGCCTGTTTGGCCATAAGCCATTACCGTCCCATTATATCCATCAAGAACACTCTAAACACCAGGTTACCAAAACAAATTAAGTCAATAATACAACAGAAAAAATTGGAAACCCTCATGTTGCAACATTGTGCTAAAATTAAACATGATTGAAACACTGTAATACATTGAAACATTGAAACTAACGTTAAAGATAACTGAAACATTGGAATAACAATAAAGATGATGTTCACCAATTCAAAAAAGACTAACTACATCATAATTTTAAATTATCTAGAAAATGCAATAACATCACAAACCTCCACTACTGGCTTAGCAACAACTTCATAGACACGCTTCTGTGATGCAAATTCAGTAAATACTTCATCAAACTCATATGTGTCTGAATCCCAATTGTTCTTCCGAAGTTTCAACCTTTTAAACTGAAAGAGAGTAAATTAAAACAAAATGCTTAATCTTAAGAAAGGCTAAAGCATTTAACAAACCAAGATGTGTATTTATAAGTAAAAGTACACCCCTGAGTCTACAGAAAGTTAATCAAACAAACTCACCTCAGGTTGCAATTCAACGCAGTCAGCAAAATCAGCATCCGCCATCATTTCTTCAGCATTTCGAGGTCTCAATCTTACAGCCACTCGAACTCTTCCAGGTACTATCAAACCATGATCAAGAAAAGAGCACAACAATACATCCACAGGCACACCAAGCATATGCAAAAAAGATAACAAGAGCAATTCAAATAGCTGCTTTCTTTTTAAGCTTCAATTTTCAAATTTCCATGGCACAAGCATAGAACATTTAGGGTTTTAAATACATATAACAAGGACATTGCAAATTAAACCCTAAAACATCCTCAGCTTGTAGACATATTGGCCCTTTAATGCCTTTATTAACCCATAACAAACTCCTCTATAGCCCTTCATCATCACCAATAACAAAATCTCATATACCCAATATTCACCAGCCAAATTAGTGCTAGAAGGAAACTTAACTGCTAAACCCACAACTTCCACTTCCCAGAGAGTTTAAAATTTAAATAATGCCAAACTCATCATACACTAAATCAGCATCTAATGAAAAAAATTTCAATTTTAATAGCATATGCTGCTAAGCTATAACATTGTCGTTACAGGAGACTATTTGAATGAGATTACTAAATTGAAGAAGTCAGCTACCACTAGGTTTGAAGTGAAGGATCTAGGAATCTCAGCTAAGCTACCTCTTGGACATAGAGGTGGCAAGGACAAAGAAGAGTATTGTCTCAAAAAGAAAGTATACTTTAGACCTTCTAGACAAAATGAAAATATAAGGACATAAACCAACTAAAACTCCTATGGGCTCGAACTATTATTCGTAAGGACAGAATTAAGCAAGAGAATACCCTAATAGATATTGGGAGATATCAGAGATTGGTAGGTAAGCTAATTTATCTTTCTCATACACATCATGACGTCAGCTTTCAGTTAGTGTGGCTGGCCAATTCATGAACAAGCAAACTAGAGAGAATTTGATAAAGGTCTATAGGATCCTGAAGTATCTAAAACTTTACACCTAGTACCAAGTTCTCCTTTAAAAAGGCGGGAACATAAAGTTGCTAGAGTTTATCAGATGCTAAATGTGTTCAATAGTAGACAAAAGGTTATAACTTTGTCGTACATGCTTGTCTGGGATAAACTGGCTGCACAGAAAAGGTAAAAGTAAGTAGTGGTGGCAGAAAGTAGTGCAAAAGCGTTGTCTTTTGCACTTGCCTTTGATATTTGTGAAGGGGTCTTTGACAAAAAAAGATCCCAAAACAATTAAAATATTCCTTTTTATAATAGAATTAAACATTCCTTTTGAATTGCATAAAAAGGTGATGCGTAACATCACTGCAAGAGTTAAAAATGAAGATTGACCAGATCTGGAATCACATCAAGTCTCCTCCTTTATATTCAGATTTTGTGCAACAGGCCAAATGTCCAATCCTTATATATCACCTTCATTTTCTTTCCCTTTTCTTCTGCATAGACATTAGTGCTTTACGGCTGTGATGTTTTTTTTTTCTACCTTTAGGAGAGGATCTGGTGTGTGACCTGCAAGTTCCTCCTTCCTGTATTTATTACCAGCCAGACCCTACGTTCATGTATAAAGAATTTGCCTGAATGAATAAGAATTATTCATGGAATTTGCCATGATATCGGATCTGGATTTTCAAAACCTACTCCATCCCTAGATACAACTTTCAGACTACCAACAACCCTAACCCCAAACCATAGCCAAAGCCAATACCAAAATGAATGTTGAAGAAAATCAAGGGGCTAATGATGTTGCTCCAATTTACATCACATGCCATATACTCAACAGGTACTTGGGTATGACGGCCCACTTTGGAGTAGGTCTGTAATAAAGTTCATTTGTGTGGCAAGGGAAGGAGGGGCACCTCACAGGTGAAACAAAAATGCCAACTGCAACAAATACCAAGAAAAGAACTTGGAAAGCTATAAACAATCAAGTAGTAGCGTGATCACAAATTCTGTGGAGTTGAATATCAGTGAGACTTCCATATATTATGAGACAGCTCCAGAAATTTGGGAGGCAGATCAAAAAGCATATTCAATCCAGGAAAATGTGACAAAGATATTTGAAATTGATTGTGCTCTCCACCAGGTAAAACAAGGTGAAAGACATGCAAACCGATATTTTAATGAACTCTCAAGATATTGACAGTAGCTAGACCAATTGGAGACATATACGTGGAACCACCCAGAAGATGCAGAAGATTGCTGAAAAGAGGCACATCTAAAAATTTCTGATGGACCTTCAAATCGATCTAGATATGTCCAGGTATTAAGCATCATCCAACCCTAACATTGTGTCAGCAGACAAGAGAAAATAGGGAGGAGACAAAAAATGAAGGGAAAAGAAAATGGATAGAAAATAAAAGAGAAGAGATGTGATTTTCATTTTCTCTTCTTATACTTGGCTGGGCAACAGAAAACGAGAGGAAAGAAAAGTGATTAATTTCATATGGACAATAACATCCTTATTATTTGTACAAAAAAATTGTTACATAATAAAACTTAATATTTTACCATATTATTTATATAATCTCCATTACATATTACAAATGGAATGAAAACAAAAATATAATTGAAAATTATTTGATCCAATTTTAATTTTTATTTCTAAAATTATTAAATATACAATGATCCAAAAATTTTAAAATACAATCAAATATAAAGAAGTGCTCCTTATGAAAGATATAAAATGCAGTGTGAAAAGGTGAGATTGGTCTGAAAAATTTATGTTTCAGGATCGGAAAACACAATAAAAAATGACAAAGAGAGTGGGGATACACCTCAGGTCCAAAACGAAATTGATTTCGCACATGATAGAATAATCTGACTAAATGGAGGGGAAGCCAAAGGAAAATGGAGGAAGGTAGGGCAGGAAACCATTAATATATATATATATGGGCAAATTTGGAAGGAGATTTTCTCTCCAAAATCTCCCCATTTTTGGAGAGAAAGGGAAGGGAATAGGTGGGTCCCACATATTATTTTTCCCCCAATTTCCTCCCTCCCATTTATCTTTCCTAAGCCAAGTGGGAAAAATGCAGGTTTTTCCTCACTTTTCTCTCATACTTTTCTCTTTCCCCCATTTTTCTCTCTTGCCAAGCACAGCATAAAAGCTGTTTTTGCTTGATTTAGGAGACAAGAAAGCTACAAGTTGATTTAGTATCCCGTTAGCAACCTACCAATGCACATAATAAATTTAAGCCCAAAGCTAATAATAATAAGAAAAATGGCAAGGGTTGGTTTGACCACTGTCAAAAAGGTGGGCAGACCAAGGACAACTGGTAGAAGATTGTTATAATTCATATGTTTCTTCTGTACTATTTACTGTTTTGTATTGTATTTTCTTTATTTATTTTCGGTTAGAAAATAGTTAGCTTAGCTTAATAAATCTGATTCTCAAGATATAGTAATGCCAGGAATTATGATTTAATTAAGGCAAGCCTGTTGCCTCTCTCCTATATAATTTTTCATGAACGAATGAAAAACCTATCAGCCAGCATACAGAATATCTCTTCCTGACCACAGACACACTATCAAGGCCATGATAAGATTTGGTCAGTTCCAAGACATGAACACCAAAGCCCACGGCACCAAACTGTATCACAGGTTTCACCATTTCAGGCAGAAACATGCCACCAGTATAAGGGGCCAATGAGCTATCAGTGCTAATGATCGTCCTAGCTGGTGAATTTGATGACACTCAAAATTGGACACACATTCATGCTGTACAATACAACGAGAGACATCTAGCAGGCTGCTCAGATTCATACTCATTTGATTCTGAAACAAGTATAATTCAAAGTTATGGTTTATTATAACTCACTTATCACGTTGTGGCAGCAAGTCAATATGTATGATGTGCAGCTTGGGCATGTACCAAAGACAACAAATATTTTTCAAAGTTTTATAGAATGCAAAAGATTAAAATACCACCTAAACGCTTCATTTTCCCCCTTATTCTTCTTCCTCCTCCCTCTTTCCCATCACCACTTAACCCCTAAGACACTCAAATTAGAAATACTTGTATCAATCAGATTAACATTTGAAAATCATATTAGAGGTATGTATATCAACAATCATTCAAATTAAATAGGATGCATTTCACAAATAAGGATAAGCAGCAGCATTGATGATCCTCTCCAATGTATCATAAACCAATTTGCTATCCACATGAAACCTCAAATGCCCATCAATTGTGGGTTCCTACTTGACCGTTGATCACTCCCCAAGCTAATTGACCTTCTTCTATGCAAGATGAAGGAGCCATATTTTGAACATTTGATAGGTTCTATAATGTGGAGTTACTAAAGAGGAATTAGAAATGAAAAACTAGGTTGGAGAAGCCATAGCTCAATGTAGTGAAATACCCACAAAATCAATGAGTCGTGCACAAAACCTTCAAAGTAAATCAATCAACATGTTGCAATCAAACCAAATCAGCGGTGAGGGAAATGAATGATGACAAAGGTGGAGCCCAACAGATTGGTGAGGGTCAACGGAGCTCAACGCAACAGATGGTAATAGCAAGTGAAGTCCTACCTGACGACATTAATGCGTCTCATCTCATCACTATCCGTTTCAAACTCAGTCTCCCATTTACCTTTCCTTCCCCTCTCCTTACGAAAACTCTATCTTCTGTACGCACCTTCAGCCTACCTCAGTGCGAGAGACGAAGAGGTAGAAAGAGAGGACGAACAAAATTCCACTCCTACTCTGAACGCTCACGAAGAGGACTCTATTCTCGTTAAATATCTGAATTTCCTCCCTACACTTTTGATGAATCTATTAGGTAGAATATGATAGACGCAAGTAAAGTAGCATGCAGATTTTATATTGAAAGACTCAAAGAAGGCCAACATGAAGTTGCATTTCTGTGCTAGATAAAACAAAATGATATGCCACACATCGCAATTTCAACAAGCCAATACCCGTTCTTACAGGAGCAGCAACCAGCAATAGGATTTACAAAAAATAAAAAATGGCACTAACCTCCGTCACCGTTTCTAGCTGCCAAAGAGGCCGGGCTACTCCGGCGGAGAGCGGATCCCGGAGACTGCGATGAAGGAGGAACCCTTGGTCTGAACGACATCTTCGCACCCGCAAACCGATCGAGCTTAGGCCCCCTTTGAGCGCCATTTCTTTGAACATTAGAGGCCATTGCGAACGAAATCAGTATTAGTTTTCCGAACTCACAAGATTTCTGCCATATGAAGCTCTGGTCGGTGTTGTTCAAATTGCGAGAAGAGAGGGTAATTAGCTGTGGGTCCCGTTGTGTCGGAGCGACAGAGACAGAGACCGTGGAAGGATGGCGGTAGAACCCACCACGGTACAACAAGCATTAAGAATGTGTTTTCCTCGACGACTAAGAAACTTACTGTGAATGTAGTAAAATGTCCCCAGAAAATTGAAATGTTCTTTTGACCAAAAAAAAAAACATTGAAATGTTCTATTTCAACGGAGGAGGAGGATCTGGCAAATTAAAAAAAAAAAATTGAAGGGGTAGACGTATTGGTTTTATCTTAACATGTTAAAAATTAAAATCAAATAAAATTTATTTGCTTTTAATTATCAAAAATTGAAACTCCTCATATCCTATTTATATTGGATTCAAAAAAATCTTAAAATTTATTAACCTTATCTAAAAATTAAATAATTTTTTAACTTTACCACTATTAAATATACGTATTTTAATAATATATTTTTTCTCTCAAATATTTAAAGAAGTAGTTGGTTATCTCCAATATATCAATCAATCTAGATATGTCCCCATAAAAAAAAATGTAAATTGTCAATGCTATTTTTTTTAAAAATGAATGCTCTTGTCGATTTAATTTGGAGTAAAATACAGTAAGTTTCTTTATATTTTGTTAAAGCTAGTATTGACTTCCTATGTGTTACACGAGATGAGATGATTTAACTTCAAATCAAAGAGATTGAATAATAACAATTATCTTGAGGAGGCTCTGGGAATTAAAGCTACAGATAATCTTGGGAATTATCTCAAGTTGCCTATAGTATGGGGTGAATTGAAGACCACTGCACTTTCTTTTGTGAAGAGCAAGATTCATTCAAAGATGCAAGGATGGAAGCAGAAACTTTTCACTTTTGCTGGTAAGGAAGTTTTAATTAGAGCTATAGCAAATTCAATCCTAGTGTATCCTATGACATGTTTCTTATTTCCAAAAAAACAATATAAAGAATTGGATAGGATTATTTTTTATTTATGGTGGGGGCAAAATGAGAATGATGGTAGGAGAATCCATTGGAAAAAAAATGGGAGGATTTGTCAAAAACAAAAATAGAGGGAGGTATGGGGTTTAGAAGTTTTTAGGCCTTTAACAAGGCATTCCTTGCTAAAACAGCATGGAAATTGTTACAGAATCCAAGTGATTTATGGTGTAGGATTCTTAAGGGAATCTATTTCCCTAAAATTGATTTTTTGAAAGCTATAAGTTCTGAGCATTTAAGCGCTGCCGAGAAAAAATTGATTGTTGATGAGTTAATTACTAATGGTTTTTGGAATCTGTCTCCAATCCGGTATAGGATTGATGGTGTTAAGTCTAAAGCAATTCAAAAGTTTTTATTCCTAAAAGTTAGAAAGTTGATTTGTTGATATGGCAATTTGCAAAAGATGGGAAATACATTATTAAGTTGGGTTACCATGTGGCTACGGGGTTGAAAAAGGAGGTTGTTAATAAAAATTAGAGTAGCTTAGACCAAGTTTCAAAGCAGGTCTGGAAGGGCATTTGGAATTTAAATGTTCCTCCAAAGGTGCAGCAACTTTTGTAGAGTATTAAATGGAGCTGTTGCAACAAGGGAAGCTTTATTTAGGAGGAAGTATGAAAAAGATCCTTTGCATTCTTTTTGTATTGAGGAGGTAGAATCTACTAAGCATATGTTGTTTTTATGTCCTTGGGCTAGCAGAGTTTGGTATGGTAGTCTTTTGGCTTTGATTGTTTCTAATGCTAATATTATGAGCTTTGGGCATTGGCTTGGGGATATGTTGGTGATGAACAGGCATATATAGGATTTAGGGAAGGCCTTAATTGTTGCTACTTGTTGGAGGATTTAGAAGTGCAGATGTGATTGTGTTTTTAATGCCATGCAAGTTAACCATGTGAAGGTGATTGACATGGCTGCCTCTTTGGTTGATGAGTGTTAGCGAGCTAGAAGTATTGAGGAAAGAACTACTAAAAGATCTCCTAAATGCAAAATTAGCATGAATGAATGTTGGAGGCCATTAGAAAAGGAAGAATTGAATATTAATGTAGATGGAGCCTTTTCTTCTAATGGTGTTAAGGTTGGGTTGGTGATAGTATGTAAAAATGGAAAAGGGAAATTTATAAGTGGTATCTGTAAAAGCATTTTTGCTAGCTCTGCATTCATGGTTAAATGTTTGGCAATAAGGGAAGCTTTGCTGATTAGCAATAAATTTGAGGGTAAAAGGATTTATATTGAAATAGATTGTGAGGGTCTATTTAATTGCATTTATACTAATTCGGTTGATTGTTGTGAATGACAAAGTGTAACATCCTAAATTTCCTCATTAGTAATTATTAGTATTTTCAAGGGTAATTTGGTCAATTTAGATAAATTGTTATTTATCGAGATTTATGGAGACTAATATGGTTTTTGGATCCTTGGACAGCCTTAGAAGAGGGTTAGGTCGAGGTTTAAGTGGGCCATGGCACAGAAGGAAGTTTAACATCTCGTGGGGCTTTTGTGCCTACGCCACGGCACATGTGTAAAATCTGCACTTATCATACGTGAAAAACAGATCGAAAACAAAAAAGATAACGAGAGAGCGACGGAGAAGAGCTTATGGTCTGCTAGGGCACGATCCTTAGGCTACTTTGGGGGCATTTGGAGCTTGAATCACCATTGGGTAAGTTGTACATTCCCTTTTCTCCCTCTTTTATAAGAAAATCTAAACATTTGGGGCAATGGGGGCTTTGATTTTCGATTCCCTTGGGTTTAGACCGAACTCATTAGTTTATTTAAATATTAGGGAGTTAAATCAAGTTTTTAACCCTAAGTTTATGAGTTTTGTGGTGATTGAGAATTTTTGGTAAGGGTTTAGACGAACCCTAAGTATAATATGATGATTTTGAGACAATGTGGGACATTAATTAGCGAATTTGGTATGTTGGAATGTTTAATAGGATAGTTAGAGTGTGTGGAAATGGTTGGTATTGTTAGAAAAGGAATTTGAGTATTTTAAGCACTTAGAACCTAGTGAATTCGGAGTTATCTGAAATGATAATTGACAATTGTCACTTATTATGTAGATTGAGTGTTACTCACACCATATTGTGCATATAGAATGTGTAGAGCTAACGCTGAGCCATAATAACTCTTTTTGTGTCACAAAGGGTTGAGGTAACCATATAGTTTATTTGTTTATTAACTATTATAACTGTGTAGAAATAATTATAAATGATAAAGTTGTGGTTTTAAAGAATTTTGTGCATAATGTGACATTGTAAATGATTTTAACATGAAAAATTGATTTATAAAAGGTTATCAAATTTTAGTTGATATATATATATATACACATGATGTATATAAGATTGTGATGTGGGAATGTGACGAAAAGTGATGACATTGTGAAAGAGCATGATCATATAAGGTGGGAGTTCACTCGAGATATGTGAGAGAATGTGTGTGTAGAGATATGTGAGTGAAAAATCGATACGGTCAAGCTGACACTATGGAACATCCAATGCAGCATTATATGGGACTATTACCATGGGATATCCAGGCAGTCTGGCAACTCCCTAGTACCAGTTAGGGTGCACTTAGGAGTCAACGACGCCTCTATCACAAGTGTGTGAAGAGGGAAAAACCATAGTCCATGGGCTGGTTAGATTACCTTTTCCCGGTATTTCTACTACTAAAGTGTGCTCGAGTCAATAAGTGGTTGAATCAAGAGAGCTTATGGTCTCATGTCGACAAGTATTGGAGGTTCAGTGGTTAGATGATTATACCAGTGTAAAACTATGTGTCTTGTTGAGAAGAGATATACTTATCTCATAATTATGGTATGCTTGTTATTTCTATAGTTTTGGTACTTTTTCATGGTTATTTGTGGTAATAAACATTTGATGAGCTATATTAGTTACTGAGATGTTTATCTCACCCCATGGTTATATTTTATAGGTGAGGGCTCCGGTAGGGGTAAGGGGAATGAATGAGCATTTGAAGAGTGAAGAGTATCATTGTATAGCTCTTCCCTTTTCTCTTTTTGTGTATTGTAATGAATATTATCACTAAATATTACCAACTTAAGAACATGACATTATTTGGATATCACTTGTATGAATTTGTGATAACTGTGTATATCTTGGTCCAAGAATGATGTTATGAATTAGGTATGTGCTTGGCCAGGTTGCTTACATGTGATATATGTTAAGTGTTTTGAGTGTCAAAATGACCAATTGATTGTGTGTTGAATTTTATCAGCCCCGTTGTGTTATTGTTAATTAGGGGTTTGATGGTCATTTTGAGCGTTATTACTCAATTGTGTGTTATGATTGAATTGTTATGTGGTATATGGTCCAATTGAGGTGGTCAAGTTGTCTCCAGGGCTAATGGCATTGTGTATTGTGAGTTGGACATCATAGTATGTGTTTTGTTGTAAAAATGAACCATTTTAGGTTTGGGTGTTCATCTTTTAAACGGATAATTGTTTGAGTGCGAGACCAGTGCCATTAGCTAGTGGGCTCAAAGAGTTTCATATGGACACTTGAACTGTTCAAATCGGATGGCAAAATGACAAGCTCTGAAAGTTCAAAGCAAAGTCATGATCAGACAGCAGGTGCGCACCGTGGCGCAAGAGGCCCATGAGGGATTTGTCCCTCTGTGCCATCCCTACAGCGGGTGCAGCTTGCGCTGTGGTGGATGGACCAGATAAGGGCAAAATAAGTTGTTTTAGTCTGTTTCAAAGTGAATTGATTTCCATACTTCTATATTTTCTCTTAATTGATTTTTAACCATAGTTTGAATTCAAACAATATTTTAAAAAGGATTTTCTTAAGATTCCAATGTTTTAACTAATTATTTTCAAACCCTTGAGTTGTGGTAGCTTTAGTAAGGGGTTTTATTAAATCCTAGTTATCACAACGATATGTAAGTGTTGTCCTAGTAATATCAAGGCGGACATTACACAAAGTGCTTTAGTGGTATCTGATATCTTATTGCTCAAGGAGTTGAAGCCGTGGGTTTTCTTTTTCCTTAGTTGTTAGATAAGGAAACAAAGTTACAAATATGCTAGTAGCTAGAGGTAAAAAAAGGTTGGAGCCTTCAAGTGTGACTAGAAATAGCATCAATTCCTTTGGTATTCTTT